AGTATGAGAATGTGCTGGACACTTGCATCTAGGGAAAAGAAAAACAGTAACTTGAAAACCAACAAATAAGAATACTTAAAGTAATTCTCACATTGCATTATAATCCTAAGAGATAATCAGGTTGGTAATTATTGGCAGGCATTTTACAATAGGAAACAAACAATCCAGTGATCAGGATGCACAGTCAATCTAGAGTTGTAAGATCCTCAGCACCACATAAAAATAAAATAAAGATATATATATATAAAAGATTTTTTTTTTTTTTTTTTTTTAGCAGCCTACAAGCAGCTGAGATAAGCATTCCAGGAGTATGCGAGATCTAAGGTGGGGTTCTCGGTTTCCCTTCAAGCTCTCAGCTCATATAAGTTTGGAGCTTTGATCAAATCCATCTAGGGTTCATGTGTTCCTCTTCTTGCTCCCCCCACCACCCACCCGCCACGATGGAACTTTCCTCTGTCTTCAAGCTGTTTAAAGTTTTTCTTCAAACAGGCCCTGGACCCATGCCAACTCTTCGCTTTCCCAGGACCCACAGGCGTCTTGTCACCTCTGGGTGTCCCCACTCTTTGCCAGTTGCAGCTTTAGTTTCTATGCATTTGTCCGGGTCTTGGGTGTGTTGTGCTCCCCTAAACCCATCATCTCTTCTCACTCCTTAGTCGGCTTCTCTGCAGATTTTCCATGTCCTCCTTTTTGGAAACTTTCCCTCCCTTCCCTGTCCTGCACGGTTCCTTCTCTGGCTTCTTTCTCCTGCTGAGTTTTGTTTATTTTTATAGCCCATGGGACAGTGTTATAGTGAGCTCCCAGTAGATACTTGAGTGCATGACCTCCTCCTCCTCCTCCCACCCCGCCAAAATTCAAATTTGGAATTAAAACATCCGAGAGGAAAAACGATGGAGGAAGGAAAGGTTGGATTTCAGTGGTCCTCGGGCTCTCAAAACTTCCTGAGAATTGTGAAGTCAAAATAGACACTGGACGCGAGTTAGACATCTTAAGTCAAGGCTGCCACCTAGCGGGGGATAGAAGAGCAGGCCAGGCCGAGGACCGCTCTGACAGTTGGGTTTTACTTTTCAGAACATGTCATGCGTTAAACCCTTCAAAGACAAGAACAGCAAAGGAAAGGGAAGAAAAATATCCACACCCAGAGCTTTCCAACGCGACAGCTCCTGGGACCACGCGCTTCCTCTCTCCTATCCCCTTTTCTTTCAAGCTCTGACAATATCTCAATTTACTGTTTCTACTCCTTACTTGAGGTTCCTGTCCTGTCCCCTCTTTCCTTCTGAGAACCTCCATCTGTTATGTATTGTATTTCCCTGTGCTCCCGGCCTCACTGGGTCCTTCTCATCCTCTTCATGCCTGAAACTCTCAGGCTTGCTCACCCTCTGGCTCTCCCCGACTGGCTTACATTTGCTGGCTCCATTTTCTTAGCTCTAGCACATTCCTTGGTTCCAGCAATCAGGCTGCTGCAGGAACAAGTCCTGGCTTTCAGACTAGATCCTCAGACCTCCTAGCATTTGCACTAGCATCACTGAATGCTGTGAGCCACCCCCAGCTCCCCTTGGRTAGGTGAAACTCTTTCCTTGGCTTCCAGGACCCCCTTCTCACCTGGGTTTCTTCTCATTGTTCTTTCTCTGGCTCCTTCTCCACTCTACCCATTTCTTCAATGCTGGGTTGGATCCTAGGCTGCCTTCAGCCTTTCTGACCCTTCCTTCTCCCTTACTCTATCTATATAGACTACCTGTCACACATCAAGGTCTCACCCATATTAATATCTCCACCTGAATCCACCCACTTTTCTCAGGGTCCTCACCATTCTGGTTGGGTTGTCATGTCTCATCCATATTTCTACTAACTTCCTAACTGGCTTCTCATAACTGCATCTTTGTCACCTTTGTTTCCCACGATGTGGTCAGTCAGGGACACATTTTTAACGTCACTCTCTTGTTTAAAGCTACTTCCATGGCAGGTGAAGTTCAGACCTGGTCTACTTGAATGGCCCCCTTGACCTCTTCAGCTTAGAACCTCATCTTTCTCTATCTCTGGGTTTTAGCTTCTGGAAAATTAACTTCATTCTTTTCCTTGAATGAGCCACATCTCTTTCTCTCTTTCTCTGTTCCCCTTCCAGAACATTGCCCTTCTTATTTCCCTGCCAGGAACATGCTTTCCTCTTTCTGGATAACTTTTGTTCTTTCTCATCAGTTCTCATCTTTCTGTAAGGCCCCAGTTTCAGGTAAACTCCTTTTCTATGTGAGCTGCAGTACTGAGCCTTCTTCCCTATTAGAGTTCTTGTCAAATCTCAGTACACACCTTGTCTTCCCTTTCCACTGCACACTGCCACCAGAATATGCTGACATGATTCTACTCATGCCACACTCCTTTCTCATGCAACCACTCCAAAAACATATTCTGCATGACACTGGTTCCAAGGGGTATGAWCGGTATGTGATAAAAAAGAGTTGCATGATGATATAGATTTAGAACAAAGAATTTTAACACAGCTGAACACTACCTCCCCTGCTTCTTACAGGACTTCTCAGAGCCCTTTATATACTATTGTATATTCTGAGTTTCCAAGAGGGCAAACAGCAGTCAGTGGTTTCCCAATCTTACTTGGTCATGGAATTCTTTTACCATGGGGCATCTCAAGGTATTAATGTTTCAGGGTTAGAAATATTGTTTTAGTAGCTGTTATCTACAGAACACAATTTGTATTCTTTTGCATAGGCCTGAGAACAAGGCCCTATGAAACCACAACATCTGGATTCAAATTAGCTCTGTGACACTGGACAAATTATTAGTCTTCATGCCTTTCTTTCTTTGTCCACAGTAGAGGCTAATAATATATACTATTATTATATATAATAATAGTATGCCATAGTGTTGTTTTAAGGGTTAGTTACTGCTATTAATAGTACATGCAAAGTTTGTGGACAGTGCCTTGCCCCAATGGTAAGGGCCCAGTGTCAGCTATTTTTTTTTGTGTGTGGTATTTCACCATCTGTTTTCTTCATTCTCACTTCTTCCTACAAGGGTATGACCAGACTTTACTTCTGGATCCTGGAACTGCATCTCTTGGTCTCTGGTGTTGCCCTTCCATCTGCCTGAAATTCCCCTCTAGTCCGTCTCCTTTCCCCTCCATTTATCTCTACTTGTTAGTTCAAACTTCCCATGTTCTCCCAGGCCCAGAGGTGCACCTGTATGTTCAACACTATTTGTCAAGCAACTACTATATACCTGGCATTTCTGGACTGGGAGTCAGACTTGTCATAACATTTATCACCCAGACTCCCTGTATATGCTAGGAAGTGTAACTCCATGTGGTTTCTTCCCTTGTACACCCTTTCTGTGCGATCTGTGGTAGGCCAGTTCTCAGTCTGTCCCCTCTCCCATTATCTGTACCCTTATGGGCCCCACTAGACTTTAAACTGCCCCATTGTCTATTCCTAGAACCTAAATATACATAGATGTAACATACACCCAATTAATAAGTTATCAATTGGGTATATGAATTTACCGTGGTCACTGTGACCCCTGCCACTATGCACTGCCTGCCACAATGTGGGACGAGGCCTTATCTTCCCTGAGCCTCAGTTTTCTTAATGGTAGATAAAGTGAGTAAAGCCTGCCACATTGCATGGTGCAAGATTGCATGTGCTATTCTGTGGCAATGCAGTTGTGCCCCGGAGCACCGCGGTACCTGCTTCCCTACATTCTTGAAAGCAACTGGAAAAACACTGCGAGAGCCCAGGCAGATCTTATGCCGGGAACTGCATGGGCGCTGCGGTATCCTCCGGCCCCTGCCCACCCGCTCGGCGGCCTGCACTCACGCTGCGCGCTGCAGTTGCCTCAGCAAGTGCGCGACCCGGGCCCGGGCGGCGGCGGCCATGGCTGCTAGAATGTCTTCTTGGTTCCCCGGCGCCGCTCCGCCCCAGCTGCCTGCCAATCGAGTCGTGGCCCTCCTCCCGCCCACTCGGCCCACCGGCCGTGCCAGGTCACCTGGCCAAGATTCAGTCTGCAGTGGCCTGGGACCATTTTCCTGCGGGTTGTCAGAATCTGGCTGTGAAAGCTCCAGCCCTAGGTCTCACCATTCACCTTTGAAACTGTCCACCACAACTTCTCGCCAGGGGCTGGAGTCCCACTTTAAACCTCTCCTCTCCAAAGGCTTTCTCACATGTTGGAGACTTGGAGAAAGGGAGAGGACTGGGTCTTTTTCCACTCTGAATTCTTTAAAATTATCTGGACTTCAAGTTTGAACCTTGCAAATAAGCCCGAGGGGTCTTTTCCCCCCCTTAAATTACAGGGGCCAGTGCCACACCCTACTGCTAAATCAAGAAAGCTTTAAAAACAAATTCCCAAATAAGCAACAAAATCCCATAATTTTAAAGTTAAAACTAAAAAGAGCAGTGTAGCTTTTAGCTCTAGCAGCAAAAATGCCCCTCATGCTGGATCTACTGTCATTTTCAGAGATTTTACTAAGATCAAACCAGCACAGGCCAATTTCACAAGTGAATCAAAAGATAGTAATGTTCCAAATATGGATTTTGTGGGTCACTTTCTCTTTCCCAGACTCTACTTGACTTCAAGCTTAAAAAAAAAAAAATGGGGTTATCAGTGTTGAGGAAGGCAGGTATTTTCTGGATTAACAAGGTTAATCACCATTATTTGCAGAGTACCCCAAGTTTATCATTTATAGATGTCAATATGTTCTGGTTGACAAATGTCAAGCATTCCTTACAAAGAGACATCCATCAGTTATTGTACTTTTAATACTATATGTTATACCAAAATAAGTTTTGAGTTTTTCTGATAAAAGTAGCTTGCTGAAACTAGTATAATATAACTGCTTTTGTATTTAAATAGAAAGTAAACAATAATCTGTACTGGACATCCAGATCACTGTTTTCAAGTACAACTTCCACCAATAATCAAAAAGTAAAAAGCAATGCTAGATACAGACACATTTATTAAATAACCTCACAACAGTTTATTTATTTAGGTGCTGAGGATTGAACCCAGTGCCTCATGTATGCTAGGTGAGTGCTCTACCACTGAGCTACAGCCCCAGCCCCACAACAGTTTCTTTAAATCAACTTAGGAAAATGTCATCTTTCCTCTCCCCTCCCAGATCTGATGAGCATAACAAAACCTTGTTACAAAAATAACAAATGCTAAAATATATAAATTAATCTACCATAAGTCTCTGAAATGTCACCAACTCTCCTTCACCCCTTAACCCCAAAGTAAAATGCCCAAATTATTTTTCTAACCCTTGTGTCCTCAAATATACCCTTCATCACTAGCTAAGGTCTCGTTTGTAGGAAAGACTTTGATCTGTACAGTCGAACAACACTTACATACTTTCTTGAGGAGAGGACAATTTTGTCCTTTCAACCTCAAACTCAATGAAGACAGTGGTCCCGCCCTGCGACAGTACCAAAAACTTAACATTTAGCATACAGTTCGTTCTTTACAGAACAGGTCCAAGGGTGAATGAAGTGTTACTTCCTCCTCTTTCCTCCTTGGTGCTGTCCGCCTTTTCTCTTGCCACCCAAGCCAGGTGGCCCGGAATGCATCTTGCCTCCCAAATTTCCTTTTCTCTTCCCCTTCTGGCTGGGCGGGCCGCCTTTCCTCTTGCCTCCTGGACCCTGCCGGTTCCCTTTTCTCTTGCCCTTCTGGCTCATTTTTCTCCTCTTGGCGGCCTCCTCCTGGTCCTCTTCTCTCATCTGCTTGTTGGTGGCTCTCGTCACATCCAGCTGAGGCTTTTTGCTGTTCATGACTCGAAGTAGCTCCAACTGGTTCTTTTTCTCGGCTGCGAAGTCCCCAAAAAGGGGCTGAAACTTCCTCTTCTTGCCTGAACCCTGAGGAGCCTTCTCCTTGGGGAGGCGCTCCTGGAAGCGCCCCACTGAGGCGGTGGAGATCTTGGCCACTTGCATAGCGCGGCCCAGCTCCTCCTTACTCTGGTGTCCGGTAGGGTGCAAACCGGCCGCGCTGGGCAGCTGCATCTTGTGCGCTCGGGCCAGATTACGCAGCCTGTTCAGCTCGTTCTTGGCTACGCGTTCCTTCTTGGCCTGAATCCGTTTGGCGAACTGGTCTTCTAGGGGGTCGGCGCTACCGGGAACCTCGATCAGCCATTCCTTGGTGTCATCCCGGGCGCGCTTGTAGCCCCAGCGCCGCCGCCACTGGCCGCTCACCTCGTCCCACACTAGATTGGTTTTCTTCTTGGGACGGATGCCCTTAAGGCGCGCGAACTGCTGCCAGCGTGTAAGCGGCCGCGGCCGTGGGATTGGCTTCTCACGCGGCAGGCGCGTGGTGGGCTCCGGCAGCCGGGCCACCAGCGCCTCTTCCACGCGCTCCGTGGGCAGCTGCCACAGCTGGTTGATGAGCAGCTGCGTATTGTCCCGTGCCAAGGCCCGCAGCTCGGCCTCCGGCGTGGGTCCCGCCTGCCGCAGCACAGTCGGGGGGTTGCGGTCGGAAGCCAGCAGGTTACCCAGGTCAAATTCCAGCTCCAGCTCCTTGTGCACTGTGATGCGTTGCAACTTCTCTGCCTCTTCCTGCTCCGCCTTTGCCAGCAGTGCCTCCACGCTCTGGCCCTCCATGGCTCCGGATCGGTCTCCTAGCTTTGAGGTTAATTGTTGAAGTCACCTCTCAAGAGCAGGGCCCAGGGTCCCGGCAACTCAACCACGTGCGGAAGCCCGGTCGCTCAACCCGGAAGACGAAGGTTCGCTTCCGGGTTAGGGGCTTGTGATCCCGGCGACCCAAGGAAAGGCCGGCAGAGGGCGGTGTTGGAGAGCTGATAGGATTAGAAGAGTGACTACAGGCTCGATCCTGGACTACAAGTTCCCGGAACTGGTTGGGGCTGCGGCTCCCAGGATGCAGAGGCAGGAGGCGGTCCCCGGGGACGGACGCGGGCCGGTCAAATTTCTGGGGCTGCGTCAGGTGTGTTACTGGTCCGCTGGGTGTTAAAGTTTCCGTGTAAATCTACCATTTCAATCAAAGATGTGTAGTTAATCACCCCTTCTTGGGCGGGACAAATCATTGCACCATAGTTATAACCCACTTTGGGGGTCCTGGATGTGAGCAGAGACACATCCCACAGATATACATAAAGGTTGTTTTGCCAGGGAGTGGGGCTGGCAGTTACACCGCCCTGAACTGGTGGTGCAGGTGTGCACGGACCCCAGGACCCCAGCGGTAGACGAGGGGGCAAAATTGCAATTGTATGCAGTGGAGGGGAGAAATAAAGAATGTCCACCTGCTTCTGCCCCTTTCAATGCTTTATTCACTCAAATTACTCAATACAATTTCACTCTATAGGTTCTTAATCAAGAAAACACAATCCTTAATGCTAGGCACTGCAATAGACATAATCCACAGCAAACAAGTCTAGATTAATTAATTCTCAGCGCTGCAAAACACACTTAATCATGACAGGCTAATGACAGACACTCCCTCTGCATGCTAAGTTTAAGTCTTAAGCCTTAGGCTTTAAGTCCAGCAGATGCACACTCACTCAGACCACGGTGATCAGGTCTGGAACCAAGGCAGGCTTTTCCTGGTGAGGAGTGGACTACTGATTGAGGAGAGGGTCTTAGGGAGAAGTTGCGGTTCTCACCAAGGTCCAGATGAGATGGTAGAGTTTGAGAGTGGTGAGGATCATGCAGAGGCTCAGGAAACGATGACAAGTGATGGGATGTCAGGTCCTCATCAGGCTCTCCAGCTCCAGTGCATCCTTGTTTCAGCTGGCTGAATCCCTGTTCATTGGCTCTATTATTTATACTAAAATTTGGAGCTTTTGACCCCCCCTTTTAATCCTTATCAGCTACCACTGGATTTCTCAGTGACATCATTTACTGCGGGGTCAGAAACATCTGGTCTGGTGGTCTCCACCCTGATCTTATTGCCTTTCCCGCTCAGGTGAGGACAGCCTGCCAGGGGCTTCACTCTGTTTATCAGGGTGAAGGAAAATAACTTGTTTGAGGCCATACTGGAGGGCTCTGTGGGTGTGCCTGGTGAGACTGCAGGTTTCAAACTGGAGTTTTAAAATGGAGTTGGTTAGGCTCAGGCCTAAGGCCATCCTCACAAGACCCCAGAGTTGACTCAGAGCTCCGGGAGGGTCTGTTGCTTTCCTGGCAAAAGAGCACCCAGCTCTGCAGTTACACTGCTTGGTTCCAGTTCCTGGCTGTGAGAATGTTTGACCTTGGGCTAGGCTATTTAACTTGGTTAGGCCTTTAAAAAAAACCTTTAATATAGGAATATTAGCCACATAAATTTTTATAGCAGCTTACCTCATAATAGCTAAACTATGGACTCAACCTAGGTACACAATAGAATATTACTCAGCCTTAAAGAAGAACAAAATTATGGCATTTGCAGGTAAATGGATGGAGCTGGAGAACATCATGTTAAGGGAAATAAGCCAATCCCAAAGATCCAAAGGCTGAATGTTTTCTCTGATATGGAGATGCTAATTCACAATAAGGGAGGAGAGCTAGGAAAGAATAGAGATACTTTGGCTTAGACAGAGGGAGGAGATGGGTACAGAGGTAGGGAGGATAGTAGAATGATCTGGACATTATTACCCTTTGTGCATATATGATTACATGGCTGGTGTAATTCTACATCATGTACAACCAGAAGAATGAGAAGTTATACTTCATTTATGTATGATGTGTCAAATGTATTCTACTGTCATATATAACTAATTAAAACAACAACAAAAAAGGATGAGGCTACTAATGGTAATCACATCCTAGGGCTATTATGAAGATAAATAGGTAAATACACCCCAAGGGAGGCTTAGAYTAGGGTCTGGAATATAAATACTCAATAAAAGTTAGCTAAATATTAATTATTATTTAATCTTCATCATGGCCAGTGAACAATGCAGTGTTATATAGTGTTTAAAAATTAGGTTTCTTGGGTTAATCCATCTCAGTTTACCATTTACTAGTTTTCCTTGGACAGTTTGTTTAACCTAAGCCCTATTCATAAGAATGAAATGTTAGTTCTTGGTACATGGTGAGAACTCAATAAACATTAACTATATATTGTTACTAACTCTTTGTTATTTCCACTGATGAAAAAGGAAGGCTTACAGAGTGAGTCGACTTATGTAATACAACTAGGACATGTGGGAGCAGGATCTTCACTCTGGCTTTAAGACTACATACATATCTTCTGCAATGCCATCCAAGCTTTTAATACTAACAAAACAAAACAAAAAAAGTGCGGTCCTGTGACTGGAAAAATAGCATTACCTGGGCGCTTGTTTGAATGTGGAATCTCAAGCCTCCTCCTAACTGTAATTTATCAGAACCTTCATCAATCTAGGTGATTAGTATGTAATTTCAAGTTTTGGAGACACTACAGATTGTGTGGTTTGCAAGGTTCATTTTCCTTTTAAGAGGGGATTATGTTGGAGAACCGTAGCAGTTATTACGTTAACTAATTTCAACCTTAAAACTTTGGGAATTTGCCTAGGAGACAGTAAAGATATTGCTACTTTGGGCTTTGCTTTGCCTCTGATTTATTATTTCACCCAGTGAACATTTAATTGAATGGCTATCATGTGCCAGGCACTAGATATAAAAGTAATTGAGACCTTTTGAAACATGGGAAAAGAAATATAGGTATAGAGAAATTTACTATATAGTGTGATTGAACTTTTAATAGAAAGTACAGCTGTTAGGATTAGCTCCACTTTCAGTTTTCTGAATTAGGGAAAAAGAGCAGGGATTGTTTCTTTCTCAATGGATGCAATGCTGTTTGGTCTGGATCATACAGTTCACCTCTTAATTGAATTTTAATAGTTTTTTGTTCACTAGTTTTTTAGAGCCCAAATAGATTTTAATTTCCTTGAAGGCTGGAGACTTAACTTTCACTTCCATATAGCACTGGGCATAAAACAGTATTCAATATATTACTATTGAAAAACTAAATATTATAGGCTTTCTAATTAAAATAATATTAATTTTCATTCTGTTAGATTTGAGTGGAGTAAAAGTAGTAAGACTGAGATGTGGAAGTCTCAAAAATCTCTTACTGAGACAAGTGGGTGGGTGGTGGTCTTTAGCTTGCATTTCTTGTCATACTTATTTTAGGCAAGACTATACAGTGTCAAGAAAAAGAAAGCCTACTAGAAATGTATAAATATGTGTAAATATATTTTAATAGTATGGCAAATGGTGGTACACATTGTCTTTTCTCTTTATTTCTCTTCTTCATTTACTCCTATAAATTCAGAGAGACCCCAAGTGTGGTCATCAGATCTTACTTCTTTTCTCTGTATACTTACTCTCTATGCCATTTCATCCATTCATATGGTCTCAGCTGCCACTTTTGTGCATACAGTTTTTTTTGGTGTGTGTGTGTGTGTGTGTGTGTGTGTGTGTGCGTGCACATAGTTCTTAAAAGTATATTTTTATTGCTTTCTTTTTCAAAGGTTTAGGCTGAAATTTCTAACACTTGCTCGACTGTTTCACCATACTCTAATCTCAGTAGGTATAAAACTATATAACATATAATTTACCCTCAAATTAACTTCTTCTATCATCTATCCATTCATCATTTCCACCCCCAGCAAATGTTGATAGAAGGCCTTTGATGCCTGAGGAATACAATGAGAATGATTGTTAGTAAAAGCAGTTCCGGTTGATATTATCATCATTCTGGTCAACTAATTTGGGCTTGAAATGGTGAAGTCAGCCTTGACATCTCCTGTTTCCAAATTCAATCTGTTCAAAAATCCTGTTTGTCTCTATATTGTACCCTTTCCAGCCCCACTGCCATGACTAAATTGGTTAGCATTTTGTCATTGTCACCAAAATACCTGACATAAACAACTTAAAGGAGGAAAGATTTACTTTGGCTTCATGGTTTAGACATTTTAGTCCATAGTTGGAGGCTTCTTTGGGTCTGAGGTGAGGCAGAACATTAAGAAAGAAGATCTTGTTAGAGGGCTGGGGATACAGCTCAGTGGTAGACCAATAGAAAGCTTGACTAGCCTATATGAGGCCCTAGGTTCAATTCCAGTATTGCTAAAGGGGGAAAAAAAAGGCATGCTAGAAAAATGCTATTCACCTTAAGACACTCAGGAAGCAAAGAGAAAGACAGAGGCTGGGAACAAGATAGATAAGTCCCAAGAGCATACTACCAAGGACCCATTCCCTTCAACTTCCTGTAGTAATTCCAACAGTTATTTGGAATATATAATGATCCTCCTACATTTTATGCCACCTTTCAATAATTTATTCAGCTATGAATTCCTCAGTGGATTAATTAATTGATCAGGTTAAAGCCCTCATGATCCAATCACTTCCTCAAAGCCTACCTTTGAACATTGCTGCATTGGGGACCACGTCTTCAACATGAGTCTTTGGGGAATATTTAGTATCCAAGCCATAATAGTGACCTTACCAGTGTCCTATACTGTATCTCTTCCATCTGCTTCTCCAGATCCTCTTTTCACTCTGCTTGCTGTGCTTGGCTTCCAGTTGAGTTTGACCAGCTGGAAGCAATGACAGATCAGAAGGTACACAGAGAGCTAGGTCAGTACACATATGCCCTCAGTCCTCTGCAGATTGCCATCAGAAGGCCATCAAAAAGCTTTTGTGGCATCAATAGGCTGCAGTTCCTATCAGGTAACCTAGGGTGATTTTGGTTCTCTGTCATTGTAGCATCACTGTCTTTGCTACTGTTCTTTATGGGTTTCCTTATATTGGGCTTGCATCTTTGTAAATATTTCCTTGGTTTGTCTTTCTTGAAATATCTAGCTTGATTTTTACCTGTTTGCTGCCAGGTCCTTGATTGATATCTTGGGAACGATCCTAGGAGCATATTAACAGTTTCCTGCATCTTTTATGGACATTCCTGAAGATTTATCTTTTATTCATCTGTCCAAATCGAACTCTCCTCTCTACTTAACAGAGTAAAATTATTTTTGGCTTTGGATGTTCATGATCTGGCCCCAAATAACTTTTTTTTTTCTTTTAAATACATGTCATAATAATCCTTCTTCTGCTTGTTTTCCCAGTATTTCTAATCCCACTCTTATTTTTCATTTTAGCTGTTTCTCCACAGCTTTAAGGTGTTTTTCATCAGAAATAAAAACTTGAGATGCAGAGCAAATTATATTTTGGTAGCAAATATTGTGAAATTTTTCATTAACAAAAGTGAACCAGTAGAGA